TTATAAAACACTCATTGCATTAGCTTTCCAGTTGTTGCATTAATAATGTGACAGATTTATTGAATTGGTGGGGTTTAATTAGTAATGAGTGGGTAGTTGATTGATTTATAAATTATACCAATAAGTTAAATTATAACTAATAGTTGAGTACCACATATTTAAATATATATATATATATATAGAGTTTAAATTTAAAACCATTAAATAAGTGGTCGATTTTGAACCCAAAGGTGGATGACAATAATATTTTGGATGCGATAGGTTGGTGGGAAGGGTATTTCAGAACCAATAGATGGATAAAGTATAATTTTGTACCATTTCCAATACTTTAAAGGTATTTTGAGCTCTTTTCCGTAACTATTATTAGACAACACAAATATTTTGGATTTACCCTCAAAGATAAAAGGATCACTTTAGAAGCGAAATTATAAAAAATATGTGTTGACAATAAGATTCGAACCTTAGTACAACAACATTAAAAAAGTCTTAAGTACTCATCCTAGAACCATTGAGCCAACTATATGATTTATTCATTGAGTGCTCTATCTTAATTTTATACAAATATCTATCGATTTATACATAGATATTTATATTTCATAACGAAGTTAATGAGTGCTCGAGCACCCGGACACTACGTGGGTCCGCACCTGCTACTATTAGTTTTAACTTATAATCTTGGAGAAAAGCTTTTGAGGGTATTGGAATAGAGATAGGACCTGAAAAAGTATTCTTGAGATATGGAATTTTAATTACTTAATTATACTCTAATAACTATGTAAAGTCAATAAAGTTATGTTCTGTCATTGCCTACTTGTTTTATGCATTTTTTAGGATGAAACTTTTAAGTAGAACTTTTAAAAGAGCTCTTAAGAGTCATCTAATTTAACCAAAGGGTATAGAAGTTTCCACTTCTCACTTTTATATTTACTCTTTTCATGTTAAAGAAAGAAAGCCCTGTGACTATAAAGGAGCCTAACTCATATAGAGTATTTTAATTAATTGAATTTAGAAAAAGGATTTTGAAGATATTCTATTTCTATGTTTAGGGCTTTTTTTTAACCTATCTTTAGGGCATAATATCCACCAAACAATTTTTTAATTTTTATTATATATATATATATATAGAAATTGCTTTATCATAACAATTTATTTGAACAATTATTATGGTATTATTTTGATAAATATAGTACTTATTTAAATATACTTTATTATTTTTTTATTGTTTTACAATATTAATTAACAGTAATTTGAAGAATAAACTTGTAACAATATAACATAAAAACAAGGTACAAAATAGAGCTATTAAAGAAAAGGTTGAGTGAAGGACAAAATAGGTTTATTAAATCGAAAAGGGCCTAGATATTTCTCTACTCTGTGAATTGGTATAAAATTATTCTTCAAGTATACTTGTTTTGTACGAATTTGTATAATTAAGAGGTACCTTAAATCCTTTTTTGTTTATTAAATAATAAGTAAAGGCAAAATGAGACAAAAACAAAATAATGGTAAAATTATTTTAAAAATCAATTATTATGTAAAATAATATTTTGTCACGTGACAACAGATTTAATAATATAATAAAATAAAAGAAATTTAAGAACATTCTAATCTATTGAATATCAAATGAAAAGTCTATGAAAGAACCACTAAAGAACTTAATCAAAAAGGTATCCTCTTGTTTAATCTTTATCTTATCAAAATATTAGTGGTGTAAATCATGAAGAATTTGATGAACAAAGTTATGGCAAAATTGGAGGCTAAAATTGTTTTATATGGTGATTAATTACTTGTTTCTAATTAAATCATTTTCAAGGCCTGCAATTATATTCTTAATCTCCATGATGTATTTAGCACTAAAAATATCTCATTATCATATTAATCAATGGAAAGAGGACGACAATTATTTCGATAAACACAATGTTTTTTTTATCAACAAGTGCTAATTGGGAATCTTATCAAGTGATGAATCATTGTTATATGTTGATTATATAAGTACCAAAAAATAAATGGACTTTTGATTGAAATTATGGACTTAACTTTTTCTCACTTAATCATGTTATATTTAAAATATAGTATTTTGAAAATAATTTTTGTCAAAATTATTTTGATTTTTTTTTGCAAATGGATCGTAAACTGAAATTATTACCTCTCCTACGTCCTATTACTAAAAGAACATTTTTTTTCCACTGAAAAATACTCAATAATTATTTCTACACATATATATTTTCTCAATGAACTAGTTTGATGAGAAATGAATGAAAAAATTATATCATATAACATAAATTTTTCACTAATTTACTACGAAAAAACCTTTATTTCTAGTAGTGCCACCCCTTCTCCCGCCTTTTCATAATTGACTAATAGCCTATTTTAGCTAAATATTTTAAATCTATTTACTTATTTTTTCGAATATTTTTTGCCAAAATCATTTTCAAAAAATAAATAAATTACATTTCAATTGTAGTTCGTGTTTTGACTAATTTATTTCATAAATACTTTTATCAGTATTATAACAATTTTTTGTGCTTTGATAAGGTGTGTTTCACTAGAATTTTTTTCATATTCTAAGAAACAGTTTTTCCTATTGCAAAGTCACTTTTTTTTCCTTTAAAATTCTTTTGGTTTAAATTCTCTTAAATAAACATTTTCTTTTAAAATATTTCTTAGAGTTTGGTGAAATAATCCGCTAATGTAATATCTAAAAGTTATTTTAAATCATAAATTTTTTTAAGATCTTCCTTTAACTGCTAACATCATATCAGTTTAAAATAACATATAAAATAAGACAAGAAGTATAAATAAATTACATTAGTGAACTGGGAGTCAAAAGGAATACCAAAAGGATATTCATTCATTACATAATACTGTAACAAAAACTATACATAAAGATTGCATAATTCCAAGAATCCTAGTAGATATATGCCCTTCTTTAGTAGTGAAATTTTTGTACTTTTTTCCTTTTCAAGTCAATAGCAAAAAATACATGTTTTATTCAATTTAATTTATTTATTTAATTTTAATTTGATAAAAAAGTTATTTTTTATTTTATTATGTGAAATTAAAAATATATATGATTTTTTTTTACCTGAAATGTCATTTAATTTTATGGTCGTAAATATATAAAGTGAAAAATTAAAATTAGAAAAATTAAAGAGAAAATAGAACAGACAAATTAAATAAAGTAAGTAAATTTTGGAGTTCGAAACCTAAATTAGTCACAAAAAGATAAAAGTGATCAAAATAAGTCATTATTTTAGGAAGTAACTAAAATAGGCTTCGTGAAAGAAAAAATTCTACTTTATCCAATATTTCAAACGTTTTTCGTTAATCCATGACGGATATACTTTAATATATAAAGCAAAACTATTAGTTACACTTTATAAAGTGAAATTTTTTCTTATACGTTGTAAAGTGGAAGAAAAATTTACGTTTTACAAAAAAAAATATTTTTCAAGTTTTGTTCTCCTTATAATGCTTTTGTAGTGTTTGTAATTATTAAACCATATATTAATACTCAATTATAACTTATGTAATTATTTTTTTGTGGCCTAAGTTATCATTTCATTTATATTAAACCATATATTGATATTGAATTGATCAATTTTATTTCATGTGGATTATAAATACGTATAAGCCAACTCAACATTAATGTAGTTTAATAGAAATAAAATAATAATTCAAATAGACAAATATAACAATTCACAATTAAAATATGAACTTTTTTGTACTATTATTATTATTATTATTTAGTATAGTACAGAGAGGTCCCCCCACACACCTCCTTTCCTGTTTGGATGAAAATTCACCTGCATCATACTCTTAATTCTTTCATCTTTTGACTTGGGAATACACATGAAACTAAAATCCAAACTTCCCCTCTATCTCTGCAATAATTACAATATTTCTTTTTTAAAAATTTAGAATGGTAAAATATAAAAATTGTATGTTATTATTAATTTAAGACGAAAGTTTTCTATAACATAAAATTTTAATTTTAATTTTATTTTTTATTTTACTCGTCGCTAATTTATATTTAAAAAGGCAAAATTAGCATAAAATATATAAGTTTACGAAAAATTAAGAGCTTTTGCATAAACTCTTTTCTCCCCCTCCCTCTTTATATATAAATTAACTCATAAAATTCAATTTTTCTTTCAATCCTATTCCTAGTTATTCTATATGTAAAAGTTGTGTCATTCTGAAATATATGAGTTCACGAAAAATCAAAATATATCATATTTCAACTTGAGACTATTGTAAGGTATTCATTAACATCACATTTAATTGGAGTTAATTATGTTTCATTATGGAATTTTAAAAAAAAAGTTATTTTGATAATGAAGATTGAAGTTGTATTTGATGTAAACAAATATTAATTTGAGTTGTGTTTTACATTTTGTGAGTAATTTATAATGTGAAAAGCAGAAACACCTTTTTATTATTTTTGGGGAAAAGGTTTAGAAGTATATTCAAACTAGAATTAAAATTGTTGTGACAATCTTAAACTTTGAGCAGAATTCATTACGCCTCTATTATTTAATAGTGTATTTCAAAGCTGAATAAATTACTAGTTATAATGATGCAGTATTTATAATATACACATGAATATCTATATATCTTTAAAATATACTATTAAGCAGTAGAATGAGTAATAGGTCCTACACAAAGTTGAGAATTGTTATAACAATTTCGATCAAAATTTAATTACATTTCAAATCTTTTTTCCATTATTTTTCAATCAAGACCGAACATACTTTCCAAAATTAATATGCCCCTCATTATACATACGAGGGCATATCAATTCCAAATGACAAACTGATCATATATTTGACCCTTTTTTTTTTGGCCAAATACCCTCATAAATAGCTCTTTGTCCTCCTACTCACCCTCTCCTCTCCCCCCCCTCCCCCTTGTCTGTGCAGCCAGCAATAACAACTGCTCTACTGATAGTACTGAAAGTATTCTTTATATATCTCTGAGTATTCTTTTCTTTCCTTTCACTCTCTCATGCACAAAAACCCTTTCTTTTCTATTTCAAACAACAAGTTATGGAACATACTGAAAACTCCAACAAATGCAACTCTAAATCAACAACTGCCAAAATATGTCCAAATAACAACAACAACAACAACAATAATCACTATATTGCTTTTGGTTTTCATCACAATACTAATAATAATCAATATCATGAAACTTACCCTCCTCTTCTCCCTTTACCTCCTCTACTACCTCCTCTTCAACTACCTTTTCCTCAAAATCACAACTTCAGATCAAGAACCCATCTCCATAAACCTTCATTTAACCAGAATCATCCTTTTCTTGCCACCCCTTCTGATTTCAAGATTCAACAAATCTCAGGTAATCAAGAATTGAGAACCCCTTTTACTTCTTTTAACACTTTTATGAAAAAAGATTGGATTTTTATGTAGAGAGTTTAATTAGAGTCTTTTTGGTATTCAGTTTATGTATATGATAAAAAAAAAGATTACCTTTTTTTTCTGCAGAAAGTTGAGGATTGGCGTTTAATTAAGACTTCTTTTTTAGTATATGGTAAAAAGCATGATAACAGTAACCTTCTGTTAGTTCTTTTATTAGTTTAAGTATTAAGTACCTTTTTCTTTTTGTCATGTTCTGTTTGTTCAAAGTTTATTGTCAAGATTGAAGCTTTAATTTATGACATCAATATTGTGCTTTTGATATTGTATCTGTAGTCTCTCTATGTCAAATGCAGAAAAAAGAATCAGTTTTTTTTTCTGCAGAAAGTAGAAAGATTAGGCTTCTTTTTTACTATAATATATGCTAAAGCATGAGAACAATAGTCTACTGTTACTTCTTTATTAGTGGAGTACAACTTTTCATCATGTTTTGTTTTGTTCATTGTTTGTTGTCTTCATTTAATCCACTAGTTGATATCCTTTAGTTAGAGTATTAATGGAACTATGTTGCTCGAACTCTCGAAAATGTTCTCGTACCTATGTTAGATCCTCTAGAATTACACTACTTTTGAACGATCCAACATGCACCCGTTGATGTTAAAGACTTCATTACATTAACATTGTGCTTGATGTGTTTTTTTGCTTTTGATGTCACTTACTAAACAGCCTCAAAGGTGCTCCAAAGGCAAAATGATGTGTCCAAACAGAAATATGGAAGGAGGGTCAGGGCTGCTGCAACCACCACAGAATCTGTTGTGGTGGCAAGAAGACCAGATTCTGGTGGTGTTGAAGGACCAGTAATATCACTTCTTGCTAATCATTTCCTTGTCCAGTTTGATCCTTCACAGAGAATATTCCATTATGATGTTGAAATTTCACCTCATCCATCGAAGGATATTGCTAGGCTAATCAAGAAAAAACTTGTGGAGGACCATTCTGTTATGCTATCAGGTGCTCTTCCAGTTTATGATGGTGGAAGGACTATATATAGCCCTATTGAATTTCAAAACAATAAGATTGAATTTTACATTAGCTTGCCAATTCCTAGTAGTGGCAGCAACAAGTCTGGAGAAATAGTTAAGTTGCAGAAAGAAGGACAGCAGATTAAGCTTTTCCGCGTTAACATCAAACTTATATCTAAATTTGATGGGAAAGAACTAAATAGCTACTTGAATAAAGAAGGAGATGATGGTGGGAGTCCACTTCCTCAGGAATATCTGCATGCATTAGATGTTGTGTTGCGCGAGAGCCCAACGGAGAAGTGTATAACGGCTGGGAGATCATTTTACTCGAGTTGTATGGGAGGACAAAAAGATATTGGGGGTGGAGCCGTGGCGCTAAGGGGTTTCTTTCAGAGTCTTAGACCAACACAACAAGGACTTGCTCTCAATGTTGATTTCTCAGTGACTGCTTTCCACGAGAGTATCGGAGTGATCACCTACTTGGAAAAACGCCTGGACTTCCTCCATGACATTTCTCACAGGAAAACAAGAGGCTTGACGAATGAAGAGAAAAAAGAGGTTGAGAAAGCACTGAAGAACATCAGGGTCTTCGTTTGCCACAGAGAGACTGTTCAGAGATATCGTATTTATAGCTTAACCGAGGAGGTTACAGAGAACCTCTGCTTTCAGGATAGGGATGGAAAAATCCTAAGAATAGTGAGCTACTTCAAGGATCATTACAACTATGATATACTATATAGGAACTTGCCGTGCTTGCAGATTAGCAGAAGTAAACCTTGTTATCTTCCAATGGAACTTTGTATGATTTGTGAAGGACAGAAGTTTCTTGGGAAGCTTTCGGATGATCAGACTGCAAGAATACTCAAAATGGGATGTCAAAGACCAAGGGAAAGAAAGGCAATTATAGACAGAGTCGTGACAGGACTGGTTGGACCAACAAGGTAATTTCTGCCTTCGCCATGCTACCTCCTTTGTTTTATTTTTGCTTACACTTCCATTTTGTTAGTGCCTACGTATTAAGATTGTTTCATTACCTGACAGTGGCAATCATGCGAGTGACTTCAAACTCCAAATCTCGAAAGAAATGACTCAATTGTATGGGAGAATTCTTCAGCCTCCTAAGCTTAAACTAGGTGATCGTGGTCAGGTTAGAAATCTTATTCCTTCCCGGCATGATAGGCAGTGGAATTTTCTGGACAGCCATGTCTTCGAAAGTACTCGAGTTGAGAGATGGGCACTGATGAGTTTTGGTGGAACCTCTGATCAGAAGTCCCACGTACCAAAATTCATAAACCAGTTATGTCAAAGGTGTGAGCAATTAGGCATCTTTCTGAACAAGAATACAGTACTTAATCCTCAGTTTGAACCCTTGCATTTGCTCAACAATGTTAAAAACTTAGAAAGCAAACTCAACAAGTTACATAGAGCTTCATTTAACAATCTCCAACTTGTTATTTGTGTGATGGAGAGAAAACACAAAGGATACGCGGACTTGAAAAGAATCGCTGAGACAAGCATCGGGATTGTAACACAATGCTGTTTGTACCCAAACCTTGGCAAAATTAGCTCACAGTTTTTGGCAAATTTGGCTCTCAAGATCAATGCCAAAGTCGGGGGATGCACAGTTGCATTGTACAATTCATTGCCTTCTCAAATACCACGGCTCTTCAAACATGACGGTCCAGTCATTTTTATGGGTGCGGATGTGACTCATCCGCACCCTCTTGATGATTTTAGCCCCTCCGTCGCTGCTGTAGTTGGTAGTGTAAATTGGCCAGCAGCCAACAAGTATGTCTCCAGGATGAGATCCCAAACGCATAGGCAGGAGATCATTCAAGATCTCAGCGCGATGGTTGGGGAGATTATTGATGATTTTTATGAGGAGCTGCTAAAACTCCCTGAAAGAATAATCTTCTTCAGGGACGGAGTAAGTGAAACACAATTCCTGAAAGTACTTAAAGAGGAGCTCCAAGCAATTCGGCTGGCATGTTCGAGATTTCCAGGTTACAAACCTCCCATTACTTTTGTGGTAGTTCAGAAAAGACACCATACTAGGCTATTTCCATGTGAACTTGATCCATCAACAACTAAAAACACGCTCTTCAACGAAAACATCCTACCAGGTACAGTTGTAGATACAGTGATCACTCATCCAAGTGAATTCGACTTCTATCTATGCAGCCATTGGGGTGTAAAAGGAACAAGTAGACCAATCCATTACCATGTTCTATGGGATGAAAACCAGTTCACTTCTGATGAGCTACAAAAATTGGTATACAACCTTTGCTACACATTTGTGAGATGCACCAAGCCTATTTCACTGGTGCCACCGGTTTATTACGCCCATTTAGCTGCATATAGAGGCAGACTGTATCTTGAACGTTCCGATTTGTCTACTCTAACAAGAAGTTCTAACATATCTCGCGCTGCTCCACCGAAGACAACTCCTTTACCTAAACTCACTGAGAACATTAAAAGGCTTATGTTTTATTGCTGAGTGCTGAAGTTATGGCAACTGCATGCACAGTCTTCTCTATATTGACAGTTTAGCGGTTTGATTTCATTGTAACCATTTTAGTTCTTTCTAGCTAGTCTTCTATATGTGCAGTTTGATCTCATGTACATACTAATTTTTATTAATATTTGTTTCTTTTATGATCCAATATTATATTCCTTGCTACATTTGTTTAGTACATTGTTATAAATTTGTTGTGTTTTTTTTTTCCTCTAACGGTATATTATACCCTCTCCAGACCCTACTGTTGGAATACTGACCGCCAGATTTGCCTAAGGAACATGTATACTCTAAATGGTTCTTTGCATATTACAACAGTTACGTTGTGTAAACAAATAAAGTAATGTCACAATATTTTATCGCGAAAAACCCCGACTCATAAAGGGAAAAAAACCTACGACTTACACTTCTGTAGGATTTAACTATACTTCATTAAACTCCGACCTTCAATAAAAGATTACAAACTTATGTAATCTAAGGAATTATAAACTCTAATTCCTAGACGCCAACAACCAACTAGATCGTTGACCGTTAAGAATTCGGATTACAACTCTTGCAATCCTAAGAACTACTCTAATTCCTGAACTCCAACACAACCCCCCAAGGTTTATGTTCCCAAGTTTTAAGTCACCCCAACTTGAAGAATCTATTCCTACTCCAGTTTATAATTCACTGAATTTAGAAAGAAACAAAAATACAACTCGATAAAACTCAATACAAGCAAACTTATCTAAAGAACTATAAAACATGACCCTATGAATCAGTTCTTCAATTCTTGTTTCCTTGTGTTGGCTGCACTTTGTAATCAGAATTCACTCAAATATGAACTCCCTCTATTGATTGTATTCTGCTTTTAACTTTTTGTTCAAGTGCGCAAGTTTTGTTGGAAGATCCTTGCTCTATTTATATACAAAGTAGACCAAGAATCTTTTTCCTTTATGAAAGGAAACCTTTTTTACATTGGTTTCTTGTCGGAAAGCAACTCTTTCACCGCTTTATAACTTCTAATTCACGTGGTTGGCATTTTGCTTATCCAAGTTGAATCGGTCTAAAAAATGTATCGACACAATTGGTTCTTTTCCTTTTTCTCTATTAGTCAATTATCAAAATCTTTTTCGATCTAACCAACCCTACTTATCACTCGATATGTTGTTGTTGATGATCTCATGTGCATACTAACTCTTTATGTTGGCTAAATTATTGCACCTCCCCATGTATGTTGTTGGACATTTCATTCTGATGGGTATTATCTTATATTGTCCGTGCTTGAGATGTTCAGTCTTGAGGGGTGATATTAGAGTTTCATATTGGTGGGTTTAAGGGTAACTTGATCTTTTTATTTGATTTTGGACAATGATATAAGGATTTAGTGACGACTAACTTGATTTTCTTATCTGGTCTTAGACAATAATATGAACGTTAGTCGGTGGATATATATATATATATATATATATATATATATATATATATATAATGCAATTATTACTGCAGCATTAACTTAGGATAATTGTAGGAACTCTAATCCTATAAGGGATTGATTGGCATGCTTGTCACCCTAGGATGAAAAAAATAGTGTTATACTATCACTTGTTTGGCTACTAGTCCGGAAATAAATATATCAAGATTAATAATTAATACTAGAATAAAATATCTCTACAATGAAGTAATTGTATCAAGATTAGTTATCTTTGTGGTGAAATAATTATATCAAAATTAGTTATCTCGGGATAAAACAATAAAAAATATTTTATCTGTCCGTTATTACTTTTTCAATTTTGAATTTTTATTTGTTTTTTTTACTTGTCATTTTTGACTAATCAAAAAAAGACTATATATATTTTTACATATTATATCCTCAATTTATTTAGAGATTGTTAATGTTTTTGAAAAAGGTAGAACCTCTTTAATAAGTAAATTAATTTTAAAATTTTATTAATTAAAAAGATAAATGGTAAATTTACTTCAACAATTATTATTTTCTTAATAAGTACTATATCAAAATTAAATAGAGACAATAACAAATACCTCTGAGGTTCTTCAAATCTTTTTTCTATAGAATTATAATAAATGTAATACTATCAAAAATAATTAATTTGATCCTAACTAACTAGTTTGAGAATAACTAATTATATAATATGATGACAAAATTATTTAATGCTTTTCTTGAACATGGAAATTTAGAACATGAATTGTCACTTAAGACATGATAGAATGATAGGTCACATAAAAAGTATTGTCTGAATGCTAAGGTTATATATACTGCTAATCTAATCTCTGATTTCTTTTCATGTCAGTCTTTATTCAGTGCATTTATTTATGTAATATAATATAATAATATAAATAAACTAGATAGTCAAGAGTAATAAATCAAGAAAAAAAATAAGAGTGAAGGAATTTAAGGGGGAGTGGACTTGAATAATAAGTACTCCCTTCTGTGTTTTTTTATTTAATTTGTTAGGATAATTAAAAATAATTAATCAAGAATATTTTTTTTAAAAGAAATTTAGAAAATATTAATAATATTTTTCTTCAGAAAAGAGTGAAGGCAATAATGATACTTTTTTTTTTCATTTCAATATATTATATATGTAACATTTCTTTGAATTTTGAAATTTAAATGAATTTATTTTTATCGTAATTTTTTTCTTATACTTTTTAATATTTTAAATCATCAACTATTATAACTTATAATTCCTCCTTTTTTGAATAGTTTATGATGGTTATGTTTTAATTAATTAGAGAAGTGTATGGATACTTAAGATACTTGTAAAAATTGGAGATAGTTTGTTTTATATTTAGTGAGAAGCTTTTATGATTGCACAAATATTAAAGTCATAAGTTTAAAAAGTTTTATAGATATATAAATAATATTTATATTTTAAATTTCTACTTTCAAAGAATTTCATTTTAGAATTCTTTTCCTTTTTTGAGTAGTTTATGATGGTTATATTTTAATTAATTAGAGAAATGTGTGGATACTTAAGATACTCATAAAAATTGGAGATAGTTTATTTTATATTTAGTTAGAAGCTTTTATGATTGCACAAATATTAAAGTCATAAATTTTTAAAAAGTTTTATAGATATATAAATAATATTTGTATTTTAAATTTCTAATTTCAAAGAATTTCATTTTAGAATCTTTTATGTCCAATTTAAATGTATTTACATAACTTAGAAAGAAGAAATTACTATTCCTGTCCAAATTGATGAGAAGGCGTTCAAAATACAAATGTCAAAATAAAGCTTTAACTATAAATTCAGATTGATTTCTATTTGTTTAATATTAATTTGATATTTTTTTAAAAAATAATGAATAAAATGATAATTTTATTATACTGTTTAAATATAGTAAATGAAATATTTTGAGAAATAATTTTAATTGATAATAAGTATGAATTAAAAAATACTAATAAAGGAAAAACTTTCTTAATTCTTTAATTGAAAGAGTAAAAGTGAATATTTCTTTTAAATATATATAATGGATACATAAAAATAGATGAAGTGAGTGTAAATCAACATAGCGAATATGTTAAAGCATTTAAAAGGAAATTAAAAAAATCATTGTACTTCTCGAATAGTAATATCTTCATTTATGAAGAGACAAAATGAATTACTATGCATAGACCACAGTACAAAGATAAAGAAGAAAATGTGAGTGAGGAGATGCATCCAATGGTCTAGCTTAATGATCAATAAATTGAATTTATTATTATAAAGTCTCAAATTCAACTTCTAATCGAGTAAAAAATATAAGTAATTCTTTTACATATGTTTTAATTTTGGTATTGAGAAAATAAATTAAAATTCTTAAATTTGAGAATATAATTTACTTTAATATTTAAATTACACAATTTTTAAAGTAATTTTTTAACCCTAATACTATAATATCAGTCTCATAGTAATAAATATATTACGGACGCTTCACATCAATGCTGCGTCATTGTCACGTCAGTGCACATTGAAAATTATTTGAGTTTTAAAAATTATTTTTTGTTTTTTTTTAATTTATATAATTTCAGAAAGGTAAAAATAGAAAAAAGTTGAGAATAAATCCAAGATTATAAACATAAAATCTCAAAAATAAAATCAAACTCTGAAACATATTCAAGATTAGAAAACATTCAATTTTTAAAATACATTATCAAAAATAAACAAATATTCAAATTAATTAACTAATTTGAGATAAAAAAAATTATAAATTTTTTATCAGAAAAGCTTCAAGTTCATCATAATCAACAAACCCTTCCATCAATAAGATCTCGAAGCAACACTAAGATGTTGATTATTTTTTTTTATTCATCACTTTGAATAATAAGCAAAATAATTTGAAATGAAGGAATAAGTGAGGGTGTTTTGAAGAACAAGAAAGAAGGTGGCGGGGAGGGTAGCTCGAAGAAGAAGAAAAGGCAAGTATGGGTGGCAACGGGGTTCGAAATAGGAGAAAGAGGGGTGCGGGTGGGGGTTTCAAAGATCGAAAAGGTGGGATTGTTGGTGGATAAAGTTAGTGGGGTGGTAAGTGTGAGGAAGATGAAACCTTATTGGTTTGAAAAGAAAAAAAGAGGCCTATTTATTTATTTATTTTAATTTTTTTTACGTTGTCATTCGTTTTTTATTTTTTCTATTTGTCACATTAGTTTTTGGGTGGATTTTAATTCACATGAAAGAGATTAGGAGAGTGAATAATTATTTGTAAAGTTAAAGTATAAAGTAAGTTTAGTGGACATGTTTAGGAGGGTTTTTATGTGTTTTCTCTTTGGTAAACTCTCACACATGTTATTGGTGGGAGGAAACAACTATTTCATGAATTTTTATTTATGGACCTTATGGATAAAGTTATCTAATACTATATGTTATTTGCGGGAGTTGACAAGTAGAGGCAACCACGAATCGGTTTAGATATTATAGATCAAAATTAAAATCAAATCGATTTATTTGAATTTTAAATAATTAAAATCAAATCAAATTAAATGTAATATACAATTCTCACTTTGATTCGATTGTTCGATTATTAATTATAAACAAAAATAAAAATTATAAAAAAACAAAAAAACAGAATAGGGAAATAGTAAAATAAATTACTCAGCAAACAGATACCTACCAACATCACCCACCACAAGTTTTTCTTTAAGAGTGGAGAAAACAAATCAAAAT